AAGACTGAAGTTGTGACTACTGTCAAATTCGAGGAGGAAATGGTTCCTGAACAGCCACAAAAGAGCGAACATGTCATTGAGCTGAAACCACAAGAAGAATTTCAACCCGTTTCCATGGAGGTTACTCTTCCCACTGAGAAGCAACCAGTTGAGGTTCAGCAGACTGAGGTTGTGACTACTGTCAAATTGGAAGAGGAAATGGTTCCTGAACAGCCCCAGAAGAGCGAACAACTGATTGAGCTGAAACCACAACAGGAATTCCAACCTGTTTCTATGGAAATAACTCTTCCCACTGAGAAGCAACCAGTTGAGGTTCAGCAGACTGAGGTTGTGACTACTGTCAAAGCCGAAGAGGAGAGTGTTCCAGAGCAGCCTCAACAGGAGCTTCCCAAAACAGAAGTGGAATTAGAGGCTGTTGAAAAGGAGAAGGAGGTGGAAGAAGTTGTAAAGCCACTGGAGAAAGTTAAGGAGGTGGAAGAAGTTCCCAAAGAGGAAATGCAGGAAATGCCGCAGCCGGTTGAGCAACAGACCTCAGAGACGCCGGAGTTGAAAACGTCGCAGATGACCCAGTCGGATGTCTTGGAAGAAACGACTCAAGAGATGGCGGAGGAGAGGCCAGAAACACAGGTAACACCCTCGGTAGCAGAGCAGACGGAGGTGACTGCGGAAGTCAGGGACGTTCGACAGCCCGAAATTCAGTCCTCGCAACTGAAATTCCTGAAGCCACTGCAAGCAGAAGTTTCTGACCAGACACTTGAGTAAGCTCATTTTTGCTCATTTTGTGAAAGTCGTTTGTAGTTGACTGGGATTGCGCATTGACATATTTTTTTAACCGCGATATCTTTAGAAACTGTCTGGCATTTTAGGTAGTTGGATCTTCTATCTGGTTTTGAATATAGGCAACGCAGGGAACGTCACGTTTATTTATAAAGCAACTGGGAATAACCATTACCACTTAGAGCTGTCAAAAATTGTAGCCTGTGGGAAGATGTTTTTTTCCAACAATAAGGGCTGAACCCTATTGACCTTCGAGTGTGGCAACCTTTGCCAGTATGCGCTTGTGGAGTGACGTTGGTAGCAACGATCGCTAATTCTTTCCGTGCAAGCTCGTGTAGATATTTGATTCTCCAGATTTATATGGAGTCCAGCATTTTTACTGAGTGAAGCCCTGGGGGCTTTCGTGGCGGTGATGGCATCGAAGTTTGTCTGAGTTATTTTGGACAGGTACTGACGTGAAACTCGGTGCGTTTACGGGAGTTCTGCATGCCAGCTGCTTTCGAGAAGCAGATAAAAAAGGTGTTCCAATGAAAGTAAAAATGTTTGTTTGTTCATCAGTGCCCATCGCAACCTTGGGAATCGAGTAGGTATGTGTGTGTGTGTTTAAGTGACATTCGACATTCGTGCAACCGCAATTATAGGTCATTCCGTCGGCCTACCCAACGTAGTTGTAGTTTTTGTCCACGCAGATTTTAATATTAAATCCGTGGCGTGAAGGCGAAACCAAGCAGTAAATTTGAATAATTCCAGAAATAGTTCAGAAGTAGAGGATGCGATCGCGGTAACATACATTTTATTGGCCTGGCGTTTCGTATTCTAATTCCTAGCCATCACCAGTGACAGTCACAGATAAAGGTGACGAGGGCGCCAGGGGTACAGGATTTATAAGACGCATTTGCCATGCCGCCACGTGCCTAACCCAATTAACCCATCTCATCGTTGGCTTTTAGACATGAGGTGCTGATTGCCTGTTAGTCCGCATCCAAGTTGCTAATTGATGAAATGTAATCGCCGTTCTTGACTCTTGGCGTGATGCTTGTTCGGCAGTTTAGCTTGGAAGCGTTGGTCGTTCGCGCCTTCCTCGCATGGCTAATTTTATTGCCTGGGTAAAGTCTCAACACAGAGTAAAGATTCTACAAATATTTCTATGTCTAATTTGAAAAGTCGATTTGGCAAACATATGTTTTCAGCAACTCTTCATCAGGGCAGTACATTTGCAAGGATAATGAAAATTGTACAGTAAGATAGGCTTAATGAGCGTACTTTAATTGCAACTGATCGTTTTCACGCTGCCCACATGGCGAGATTGGCGCGTAGAGGTCCCTGTGCTGGGGAAGAGGGGGGGGGGAATTGGGTTAAGTTGTGGGCATTGGTGAGGGGTCAGGTACATGGAGTGATAATTACTGTCATTTGCACGGAGCAAACGACTGGCACTGGGGTGTGGGGGCGATGTGCGATCGCCACCTGGCGTCGGGGTCGGTCACGGAAGTGAAAGGGCTTGT